CCCCAAAACCCCAAAACCCCAAAACCCCAAAACCCCGGGATTTTAGAGGAAAATTGAAAGGATTTAGGGTTAAATGAAAATTTTTGGAGTGGCAAGATTGAGGTAGGTGAGGGAAGATTAGTGGAGAAATTTGAAATATGGGGTAGAGGATGGGGGATTTAGGTGTAAGGAAGGTTCTGAGGATTTATCAAAAATTAAGTATTTTTAATCAAATTCTGACCATCCAGAGTCAGAGTCTTCGTCTTCTTCGTCATCGTCAGAGTCACTTCTGTTAAAGTGCTTTTTTCTGTCATTTAGCATTATTTGGAGTTGGGTTGAGATATCGTCTTTTTCCTTTTTGCTTAGACCTGCATCAGTTTCTTCAGTGCTCCTATTGACGGGCTCTATTATGTTATCTAAAAATTACTCAAATTAGCTAGCTGAAGTTGTAGCTCTTCTTGGAAAGTCATTGGCTTTCCAGTATCTTCTGGAGGATCTGAAGTCTTAGAAATTTCATGAATTCCTGTGGCTGCAAAAGATTTTCTCCCAATAGGCTTCATTAAATCGGTTCCAAACTTTAAATTTTTAGCAATAGAGACCTTTTTCTTAGGCTTGGGAGCTATTATGGATAGTTTAGGTACAGATGGAGGTGGAGGGGGTGGCCTCAAGCCACCTGAAGGAGGTGGCGGTGGAGGAGCCTTTGAGACAGTCTCAGCCGGCTTTAAATTTGATACTTTAGGATCTCCTCCTAATATTCCTTCTTCTGGAGCGGTTTTAGGTTTCTTTATGGATGATCTCAAAATATTTTCTTTCTCTTCTTCATCTTGATCGCCGATAATAATACCTATAACTATCTCACAAATAATTTACTCTGTCTGAAGTCTATTTTGCTAGACTCATTTTTGATTTGGCTATCTCTCTTCCTTTTGAACATGTCCATGACCTTAATAGTATGAGAAGCAAGAGCTTTCTGGATAATATCGAAAGTTTTTAGAGCAACTTCTTCATTTTTCAAATGCCTCTTCTTAATATTAGCTGCTTTCAAAAGTAACTTAATCTCCTTTGGCATTTCTAACTGTAAAAATTGTAAATTTACCTTTGAAATTAAACTTTTTAGTTGTCGGGTCCCACCCAGTGTTCTCCTTATTTACAGAAAAACTGTGGCTTAGTGATCTTCAAAAGCACATGAGATGTTACCTATGGTAATGAGCGAAAATTACTGTCTTAGGATCGAGTGTGTGGTACAGAGGTTTATCTTCTTCCCGTTTCTAAAGTTTAGTCAAATTCAATACCCTCATTTCTTTCATCTCGTTTCTAGTGATAGAGTACCGTTGCACCAAAGTGTTAAAATAGGCCCCATCTTCTTTTTCTCCGAAGCAAATACCCAAAATCATGTCTTCACAAGGAAAAGAGTAAAAATGAGGATTTAGCTTCACAAAGTTCTTGTTGAAATTCACGTAAAGCTCTGTATACATCAGTAAGGTGTAATTTTGCAATGAATACAGCATGAGGAACCTAGTTTTGAGAATACGATCAACTACGAAACAAAGGGCTCCTTCAAGGTTCATTTCCTTAAATTCCCTGTCTTTCTTATCAAAATAGTACATCTTGCAGGCTCAATGGCACAGAGCGGTTCCTGTGTATGGCACTTCATCATCAATGAGCTTGACTATATCTGGTGTGAGAGAATGCGAGACTGGCTTTAGCCCACTCATCTTAATAAATTTTATAACTCCATTTATTCAACAGAAAGATATAATTTGGGGTTTTGGGGTTTTGGGGTTTTGGGGTTTTGGGG